TAAATTCTAGAGTTCTCTGATTTTTCCATTCTCTCTATCTATACGTGTAATTATATATCACCACAATCATTTTTTAATTATTTCTTGACAAATGACCATTATACCCTTCTATCTTTCAATCTTTACTAATAAATCATCCTTACATAATTTTGCAATTAAGTCCTTAAACTTTTAATCTTTTTTGAAATTGATCACTAAGTTTTAAAACTTTCATTTTGGTCACTAATCCGACTTTTGGGATGTTACAGGTGACACTTGTTTTTACCACTGTCTTCACGCATCTGTATTATCGATATTTTGTTTCCAACGTTGTTATCTCTATATATTTAACGTATGGACTTTTCTGTTGGTTATTTCAAAATTTTACCGTTACATGGATTTCAAGTATACGATATGTGACCGTCTAGATTCGGGCCTACCATCTAGGTCGAGTCTAGGGGGGTTACAAGTACTCTGTCAAAGATGCTGAAAGTTCTGCTATGATAGTGCTCCACGAACTGCCCAAGCTACTAACCTACCAACGAAAAACATCCGAAGGCTGAGCTTACAAAGCTCAATAATATAATTTCTAATCTAGAGAAGCATAAGAATTTCATAAACATAAGCATGCTGAAGACATGACACTAAGCAATAGGTACATGCACGACCTAGATCAAGCGTTACCTACTTAAGGCTTTACTGCTTTATCACTGAAGTAGGGGTCTCATGCTTCCCTTAATCCTCTGCTAAGGGCCTCGCCATAAGTACACCTCTAAAGGGTCTCTAGCCCTAATGACTAAAAATACTACGCATATCTAAATGTGATAATATTACTTCTATGCATTATCTGAATGCAAACATGATATACTATGCATTATCTGAATACAAATCTAACTAGTATATGGTCTCATATAGCTCTTAGACATTAATTACTGAGGGAACCATAGTATCACATAGCATCGACGTAATTCCCACAAACATACTGAATGATCTCCTAGTCCTCACATAGCCATCAGGTAGATCACTGAAGGGAACCCAGTGTCACATAGCATAGGTATAATTCCCGCACAAACTGAAGCATTGGTTTGGTCTTACATAGCCTTCAAGCCAAGCTTTAACATGTTTGACATATTGAACTGATGGGACTATACATGCATGACTGACACAGACAGACATGGGATAGGTCTGGTGGTGTTACCGGAGGAATTTACGTGCATCTCGGAGAAACACCTCAGCCTACCTTGAATACGAAAAAGCCTAGAAGTAAGAACCGAAAATTTACGTGCATCAGAAGCTTACCCAACTGAATTGAAATAACTAACCATGCAAATCTAAGGCCCATAGGCCACATAATACTAACATTTCTAACCCACTCATCGCGAGTGTTCGAGTGTCACACCCTAGTTAGCCCCTGAGGTGCCTCGCGCATTGTTAATGCCCTACTAGGGCAGCTAAGGTAATATGAGTATACCTTAACATAGTTAGACTCACTAAAGTGAAGTAAACGTCACGCTAGTTGTTATCTCACTTGTTCTCTCATCTAGAATGTTAGGCGAAGGCTTACTTATTATCTGAGGAACTGGCTAGCCCGATATCTGGCTCGGGTTTGCTTCTGAGTAGTGGTACTCTATTCGGTCGTATTGTAACTTTCTTAAGAACTTCTCAAACTAACAAGGACGACTTAATTTTCCTAGGTTCACTGACATTATCGAAGCTCATACCATTGTGACCACTGAATCTGACGTAATCATCGTACCGCTTATCGAACGCCTCCTGAACGATCCTTGGTCCTGACTATTCGTATTCGTCCTCATTTGAAAATACGTTGGTGTATTACGCTTAATATGTGTTTCTAAGTATACTTGGTCGTTTATGTCCCTTAAGGACTAATTCTTAATATTACAGATCGTCCTTAGCTCTTATGAACCTTAAACGATTCAAATATGACCTTTCAAAGTGAGTAGTATCGATACCCTAGGGTCAAGTATCGATATCAAAAATACATTTTGTTGTGAAATTGGGCCCCAGTATCGATACTGACACCTTGAGTATCAGTACTGCACCCTTGGCAGTATCGGTGCTCTAGCCCAAAATCCATAAAGTTTGGCCTAATTTAACCAGTATCAATACTATTCAACCCAGTATCGATACTCGAACCTAGAAATAGATATTTTAGGCTCGAGGAACACTTGAAAATCATAATAAAGTCCATAGTTTGATTCTAAATCATGCACTAAAGTTTTAGAGAGTTAATTAGGGTTCCTAGGTATCATAAAACACATTAATAACACCTAAAACATCTTTTAATCTTGAAAACAAATTTAAACCCTAATACGCGTAACTATATAAATCTTTGCAAATACTTGTAATTTATGAAAGCTTAATACTCCAAAGGATTAGAAATACACTACCTTGATTTTAGAAACACGAAATGAACCTTCTTTAGCTAGCAATCACCCTCCTCAAGGCTTTGATGATGAAAACCCCTTTTTTCTTACAAAATAAAACTCAAAGCTTGAATCTTCAAAATTGATGTTGTTGGGGTTATTTAGGATGAAAATGAGATAAGAAAAATGTTCAAGACCTTACTTGGAACTATTGTTACTCAGAGAAGATGAAGGATGAAGAAATGAAGAAGAAAAGCTGAGAATGTGAAACCCACGTCCAAAACCCCTTTATAAGCCAAATATATCTTCTTTCTTTTAATGGTCTAATTACACTTTTAGTCCTGTGCATTTTCCTCGTATTTAAAAGTCTTTTTTTCTGGTTAATTGGGCCCAAATACAATACAATTAAACCCAACAACTTAAATCATGAAATTTACGAGATCCACTTACCTCTCGGATAAACCTGAACTGCTAGATCGAAATTTGGGGTGTTATAATTCATTTGTATGTGTTACGAGTCTCCTCATTCTGGTAGGTCTCGGGCTCTTCTTGTGCTGGCTAGGTGTGGGCAAGCTTGTTGCATATATGGTATAAGGCTGCTTTATTTCTGAATCTCCTTGAGGATCCTTCTTCTTCGGTGGCTGAGATTTTAAATGTCATTCGTACGAGAGGTGCGTGTATTCCTTGAGATAGGTTAGTGTGGCACTTGAGGCACATTCCAAAGAACTCAACAATTGTATAGATGGCGGTTCTAGATGGACTCTCCATGAAAGGTCGTCTTATCTCGTTTGGTTTAAATGTTGAGGGTAGCTGTGTTTTTTTGCTTAAACGAGCTTGAGACTTTTGATCACCTCTTCTTTAAATTTGATTATTCTAGGCACAATTGGGGTGGGTCTTACATGCATATGGCTTGTCGAGGGAGGGCTTGGATTAATGTCATGAGCTTAGCTGGGCATGTTGTAATTCTAAAGGGAGGTCGTTAATCTCTTTTGTATTTCAGCTGGCTTGGAACGGTTGCATCACCCTGATTTGGAGGGGAAATAATCGACGTCTCTTTCAAGGGATGGGCAAACTAGAGACAAAGATTGTTGATTGCTTAAAGAATTTGGTGCGCCTAAGGGTGGCGGTCTTGAAGGAAGTTAAGCGTTGGCACTGATAGCTTGGTAGCGAGTGTTGTAGAGAATAGAGGTTTGAATGATTAGTTTCTGTTTTATCTGATTATTTAGTGATTTTCGTATAGTAACATCGGTTCTTTTTGGATATAAAATTTTGGATAAACTCTGCATTTATATAAAAAAAATATTCATGACAGAAATGAAATTTATTTTTGAACTTAATTTATGGATATATGGCACTTGGTAGCTATGTTTCTTAATGTTGACAGCTGAAAAAAAATTAAAAATAGGAAAATGAAGAAATTTCAATCTTTACTAATAAAAATAGCTCTTTTCTCTAAAGTCCTATCTTTAAGAAGTAGAAAATTTGATGATAGGGGTTGAAATTAAGCGCATGGACCACACATGTAATATTATGAGATCCCCTTGATTTTCAAACAAAACCTTCAATCTCTCTATCTTAAGCCGAAGTATCAACTACTCCAACGAGGCAATGACAAAACAAGAAGAAACCTTAATGTAATATGAAAATTAATACACAAATATAATAAGATTTATATCATTATAAAAATAATTATAATATCATAAGGTATACTCTCCTGGTCTCATAGCAACTTCTTTCACGAGTGTGGTCTAGACGAACTTTATTTTCTTATTCTTTTTTTTTCTGGTTAAATTATAGTCACTATTAAAGCAAGCTAAACAATCCAAAATCAAAGTAGCGGTGAATGAATAGCAAAATTATAGAGCAAAAAGAGTTTCAATGCAAAGAAGACATGGCAAGAGAAAGAAAGCATCAAACAATAAAACAAAGAAGATAAGACAAAAGAAAGCATGCATAAAACAGTAAAACAAGAAAACTGAGTCAATGGTAACTTTTACCTTTCGAATGTGCTTTGTAACGATAAAATTATGGAATGCTTTTTATTCCTCGAATAATTCTTTCTATTTCCTTCTCTGTCAATAATTATGGGACGAAGAAATTATTTGTCATCTGAAACATTTTAGTAAACTCAGAAGTTTTTTTTTATCCCGATCAGCTTGTTCCATGTCGGCCAGACAGAGACTCATAATTAAATAACACTTTAATATTTTATCTAAACTATTTTTTTCTTAAATTATTTTGGGTTTACAAAAAGACTCGTAATTAGTATTTCATCTCAAGTTTAAGGGCTAAAATAAAGATTAAATCCTTTTGCTAAGGTGCCGTGTCATTAAACTAACGGTACTCAATGTCTCAAGGACTAAAACTTAACTTTTTTTTTTTTAAATTTGATGAGCCAAAAAGTACAAATAAAAAATTTAAGTGACCATTATTGTAGTTTACCCTAAAAAGAATAACAGCTAACATATATTCTCGTACCTTTTATGCTTTAAATAAGAAAAAATAATATCTGTGCGTGACTCCAAAAGCTGGAATAAAATCACGAATTTCATATCTTATCCCTTCAAATTTTGAACCATTTAACCGTGTAACAATTCTCCAAGCAAAAGCTAGTGTACAAAACTCAACCAGGCTAAGCATAAGAACACTGGACGCCAGCTTCACCACTCTTGACATAATTTAATTTAAAAGATCAAAACATTGCAGAAATAAGTGCTATTTACATGTATATTTCACTAAGATACAACGGCAGGAACCCTTAGATTCCTAGGTTGGTTTGTGGGGGATACCTCATTTTTACGAGCTCATCCCATCCATTTACCGACTGTTAGGCTTCAGCCTACTGGAGGTTCTTGGTGCACAGCCATCTATATCCATTGAGAGTGAATCTGTTCGCACTAATCAACTCGTAATATTCTTCTTCCCCATAGACTTTCCTGTGAAAATAAAACAAGGATCGTACATGGTGGAGGAATTCTTCTTGGTGCAATCAATGAATGAGATTGATACAAGAGACCTCATACTAAGAACTCGGCCTAATGCTTCAAGCTAACAGTTAAGGTTACTATATATACTAATATCTTGGTTTGATGCATCGACACTTGAAAATTAAGAATAAGGTATTGAGTTTACTACAATTTTATTACTAATATCAAGGGCTCTTGTTAACAAAACCCCACTTAGAGAAGGTAACTTATTGAAGATCTTTTACCCGAACTTTTCATTTTCCGACTCATATTTAAACATAGATATGAGTGTATATTTCTCCAAATATATGGAAAAAGAATTTACAAAAAATTAAACATACCGATGATGAATACATATTCATTCCAGTGACATAGCTGAGATACATATCTTGGAGTTGTATAACCAAGATGCACAACCCATAATATGCTCTGAAATAAGAGGTTCAAGAAAGTTGTAAACTCATGCAAGTCCAATCCAGTGCCAGAATGTGAAAACATAACCAGCATGGCAGAAACCATACTACAAAATTTTGAAGAAATCTTCAGTGATGACGAAATTTAATTGGGAGCATTAGACAGAAGAAATTGCTTTATTTAAATCATTACTCTGAACAAGCATTGGGTTATTTCAACAATTTATTTCATTTCTGTTTCATATCATGATTCTTTTACCCAAGAGTGAGATCAAGAAATAGTATTACCATTCTTTAAAGGGAAATTGCAGAGAACAATTTCAATTTTCAAGTTGCACTTAAATTGGGCAGTATGGAGAGGCCTACCTTCCTAACATACTCCTTTTTCACATCTTCCCAATGTTCTTTTACTTTGGGAGAGAAAATTGAAGCATTCCAGAGAGCACCTCTTGCAACCATAACAGATGAAGCACCTTTATATATGTATATATAATAACACATATCAAGACACAATATAAAAGCACATATATAGAATATAAAAGACTTTGAAATTGGGTAACTGTATAGAAATTTAATACATTCTAGAATCGTAGGAACCATTCATATGGAAATCTTGCAAACAGTCACAATTTGGCAGTGCTTGGGGCAAGGAGGATGAACACAAATGGTGCAAGAATGTCTTTTAGTCACTTAACGTGTACCAACTTAGAAACTTAGAACAGAAAGATAACAAAGATATCATTAGAAAACCAAAAGTACCTTCTAGCTACCTGTTGCAACTTTAATGCGCTCGATATGATCATATTCAAAAACATCACCATTTGCAATAACTGGAATAGACAATGATGACACAATATCAGCAATATCATTCCACTCAGCTGGATCCCTTGGCCTATCTGCTACTTTTCTGCAATTTTTACAAGAAAAACACACATCATTAAGAGGGAGGAGCACCAAATGCTAAACGAGTAAAGCTTCAAAGATAAACGATGGCAGCACAGAAAAATGATCCATATGGTGTCCATAGTTTGTTTAATAGTTGATATCATAACAATCTTTTATGCCTTTACAGACAACAAATATCTATTCATTGGCCTGACAATCAAGCCTTTTCCTTCCGAACATAACTTCAGTTCTCAGCCTTTGATAGTTTGAATTCTTACTATCTATTATCCATCAAGTATGCCTCACTGTTCCAGCCTGATTTCACCAACTTTGTCCCCTAATACCCTCACCCTACAATTTTAAGCTAACCACTGAAGTTACAGATTTTGATATAAAATAATGGCCAAATATTATATTTTGAAAAAATAACGTCAGGTAAAAGGTTGTCTTACATAATCATTCAGAAGAAAGAAGCACAATTCCGGTAGCTATATCAAGAATATGATAGAATTTTCCTTTTCCATTTTCGATTTCCAGGGATGTTACAACAAAGTTTATGTTTAACTACTGAAAATTAAAAGAACTAGCATACATATTTCAGAACAAAGAAACATAATTCTGATCGCTATATCGAGAATATGATAGAATCTTCCTTTTCCATTTATGATTTACAAATCCAACAAATACATTACACTCTTGGCTAAAAATGGTACCTTGCTACCTTATATGACCTATCCCTTTTAAACAGATGAAGTTGTTATCTATTATAATCAAGAAATATGAAAAGCATTAATCTTGATCTTATTGATTGACAAATTGCAGTCGCATCAAAAAGTCATAACTGTCTCAAACAAACAAAAGTTTGGCTCTAAAGGGTTTCTTTCAAAGCTGGTTTGGATCTAAAATTACCTTCCATGGACAGCAGGAGCAGAAACACCAGTCTTCTCAATTCTCCTCGCAAGTTCTACTGTATCATGGGATGAATTTAAAAGTCGAATCTTGCATGTTACTGGAGTGTCTATGTTCCTCCTTAAAGTTGTTAAAATCTGAATTAGCAAAATAATAATGTGATGGATCAAGTTTAACAGAAGATAAAGGTAATAAAATTAAAGGATTTATCCAATACTATGCAGCACCTACATCATGTATGAGATCAGGCTTTGACAACAAAGCAGCACCCATGCCACCACTCACAGAAAATGGCCTGGGACAACCCATATTGATATCTACCACAGCAACATCTTTACACCTATAGAAAGATACAAAATTTAAAGGGTTTTGACTTTCAAAGGAAAAAAAATATCACGACTTTTTTATATTAAATGTATTGCCAATATCATAAAAATAGAATATAATATACATAAAATAAGCGTATATTTCTTAGACAAGCAGTTGGAAAGAAGCAATGATCAAATTATCATAATGACTTAAAATTTTGGTAAAAAATAAAGCACTTCAACATGAACCATACATTTAATAAATCAATCATCTGTTGTCATGATAAACCAGAGTTTTCAGGTGCACAATTCAAATTGAAGTATAAAAATCAAATTAACCAGCCTTAGGCACATGGATACTGGGTTAGTTTTTCTTAGATTCAATTGAGCTACAAATACGGTGGATTCCGAATTCAACCGTTATCTATGTAGTTATTGTAGATAATAACCCTTTATGGATTCCGATAGCCTACAACACAAGCCATTTCCTCGTATTCTGAAGAGCATTTTCAACTAGAATTTTGCATACCAAACAAAAAAGAAAGTGATTTGATGCTAACACATGAGAATTTAACACAACAAAAGGTAGGGACATTTTTCAGATTATCACCTACATAATTAATATTGTTCGACTTGAATGAAGAAAAAAATGAATAAACAGTGTAGTGATGCGGGAAAAAAGTTTATGAGCATCATTGCAACTTCATGACAATGAGAAAAATAATGCCATATAAGATTTACACTATTTCAGCAGCCTTTAGAGCCCTCACAGCATCAGAAGTGCCCATTTGAAATACAACTCGATCCCTTTCTTGATCGCAGGTTCTGAAGACAACATTATCAGTTCCCTTCTCAACAAAATCAGTTGATCCGATATATTCTGCAAAAAAAAAAAAAAAGAGTGGAACCAGAAACAGACATGACTCTCAAAATCAGTTCAATTTCAACTATATGAGAAAGACATCACATATAGTTTTATTACGTCGGCTTCACAAGAGAAACAAAAGCGAGAACATTAAAACACAATGTTCTTCTCTTTCCATTTCTATGTGTTAACAATACCAATGGCGTATGATAACATCAGCAGCTGACAGTCTCGTGTTCAGCTCAGTTGAAGATAGTTTCATTCGGTTATTAGTCGGTTAAAGAATCAGTTTCTCTGTTAAAGAAGTTTCTTAGAGGCATCAGCCACCAACTGTAATATTCCATTTATGTAGATGATTGCAGATGTAATCAAAGGCGATCAATTATTTGATGAAACACTAGAAATTATAGCAATCCAAAGTTTTCTCTGTCGTTTCCATTTCACTTTCTTCAATATTCAACACTCCTCTCACTTTCATTTTACTGACTCTGTTTGAAATTTAAGAAACTTAAGCAAAAGTCTGTATGAAGTTGATGTTCCATCCAGGTTTTTTTTACTTTATCATTATCATATTTTGAAACTGATGTTCCAATTATTTTCAAAGTTAAAAGCATGTCCGCATACAAGAAATTAAATCAAAATTGTTAACGTAAAAATAAAGAAAAATAAATAAATTATTAAAATTTGTTGCACCAACAGAGTTATCAAGCACGAGTTCAGAAAAGTAAAAACACAACTGAACCAAAAGATGTGTTGACGTACCATTAACAATGCGGTCGCATTTGATAATCTTGTGATCAATAATTTCCTCGGCGTATGTAATATCTGCACCGTAATCAGAAGCTAGTAATCTAAATGGCAGCGTTCCCTGGATCAACTCAAATTAGAAGTACAATTACAGATCAAGTTTTCAAATAGAAGAGAAGAGAGAGTACACAAGGAAGAAAGGGAGAATTTAGTATTGGCAGTTCAAATTACTCACGACTCGAACCATGGGAGCGAGAACGAGCTTGTTCCTGTACTCCATTATTGCTGCTCCCGAGTTGACTGCGCAAGGAGAACCGCAAAACAAACGGAAAATGCTATGAAACGACTTTAAATGGCGAAAAACGGCGCCTGCAACTGTACATATTATCAAATACTTGGAAGAATTGGGCTCACTAAGAAGTCAGGCCTTCAATCCTAACCTCTTCTAAACTCAGAAAAGGCCCCTTCAAGCCTATAAGTATTATTGGGTTTTGAAGCCTACATCAGGCTTATTAGTAATAAACCAAATGAATTTAGTATAAAAATAGAAGGCAGATGAAACTATAATTAGTAATAAACCAAAGTTTTGTTCCACTGCACTTGCTAAAAACTTTAGCTAAACCAAACTTCTTTCTTTTTTTTAATCAAGTTTTCATTCATACCCGTAGTCTTCCAACATTAATTAAAGCACAGACAACATTACTTGACTCAACAAACTTCCTTCATCATGTTTGACTCAACAAATATTACATCAAAATCTTGAAAGATAAGCCTACTCGGTTTGAAGGATTCAATATGTTACAAATTCCATTTAGATTTTTAAGTAGTAGTACGGGCAAATGGCCGTACGGATGGTCTCAAGTCTTGAATCAAAGGACAAATTGCATTACAAAACTCCAATGGCCGGTTTTGAGTCTTTTAACTTTTTTTTTTGAAGTATTTGACTTTTAAAAATTACAATGTCAAGGGAAAAGGACTAATTGAGAAATGGCCTCACTTCCAATTCTGTTTAAAGAAAACACACTTATATAAACTAAGGGTGTTCAAACCGTTAATTCAGCTACCGACCGAACCGAATTACAATTAATCGAACTTTTTTTTTCTTTAACCGTTAAAAAAACTAAACTTTTTTTGAAAATATTAAATGGACCGAATAAAGTTCGGTTATTTCAGTCGGTTAACCAAATTAACCAAAATTTTTAATAATTTTTTATAATCCGATTAATTTAAATATAATAAATGTATATATTTTATTTGATTAAAAATTAGTTAGGCCTTGAGAATTTATTGAGTCTAGCGTGACTAAAAAAATAATGAGTATTAATTTTTAATAGGTTTTAGCTTAAAATATGTTTATAATATATATAAAAGATTTAATAATTTCGGTTAATTCAGTTAATCAACTGATTCAAATTGAATTAATCGTTAATCGAATATTGGAAAAAGAGTTAACCGTTCCCCAATCGAACTAATTCGATGGCCGATCGAATTAACTAAACTCAGTCGGTTAATTCAGTTAAAACTGAATAATGAACAACCTTAATCTAAACAACTTTTCAAGTATGCCAAAGGAAAAACTAAATAGAAACACTATAGCAGAAGTGGTCTATAGCGGCTTTTTTTGTCAGCTTTTAAAAGCGCCGCTAAAAATGCTTCTGGCGTAAAAAAATGCCGCAAAAATACCGCTATTACAAATGCCACAACTGTTAGCGGTATTTTCTACTAATAAATGCCGTTAAAAGTCAGGTTATTTAGCGGCGTTTGAGTATACAAACGCCGCTAAAGGTCATGTTATATTGTGGCATTTTAGAATACAAATACCGCAATAGGTTTGGTATTTATAGGCGTTTTACATAAACATGTTCGATATTTAGTGGCGTTTGTGACCACAAACGCCGTAATAATTAAATATTTAGCGGCGTATGTAGTCAGAAACACCGCAATAAATTTGATATATAGTGCCATTTGTAGTCACAAACGCCGCAATAGATTTGATATGTAGTGGTCTGTCTGGCAGAAATGCCGTAATAAGTTGGTCATTTAGCAGCGTTTAATCGTAAATATGCACTCCATTAGTGGTGTTTTGCCCCTAAAACGTCGCTAATCGAAATTGATTTTAACATATCTTTTTCGTATTTTGTATTACCCAAATTTAACATTTAACAATATCTAATAACTTGCAGTAAATTTAATTAAGATTCGAATTAACTAATAATACATAAAAACATAAATAAATCAAAGTTTACAAACATCAAAGTTAAATATATTGTAGTTCAACATTTTTCAATAACATAAAGTAAGCATTAAGCTAAGAAAACACCTAGGATGATGAATTATTCGTTTGATTATGTTGCATCATCTACCTCATAGCTTCAATTTGTTTTTGAAGTTCATCATATTTTCTCTGAAATGATACTTCTCTCGCTACTCTCTTTGCTTCTCTCGCTACTTCTTTTGCTTCATCTTCGGCTTTCATTTGGGCAATTTTTTCATCAATTTGACTTAGCTGTTGTTTTAATCGAATAACTTCTTGTTGAGAAGATTGTCTCTGTGATGACATGTACTGAGACGAGCTGGATCTAAAGAATTTGGTTAGAATAACGAATGATCCCTGACAGCGAACTCGACCATATCTTTCAGGACCAAAATCTTCAGCAATAACTTGATTTCCAATCTCCTCCGCATTAATAAAAGCATGGGATGAAGCCGTAGCATCATATTCTACCCTTTTATCGCTCAATTTTTCCTGATAATCAGTTAAGAATGTAGAACAAATTTAAGAATTATTTAAAATACACAATTTCATACTATCAATATAACAAAATGCAAATTTTACGTTCAATAAATATACCATAATTTCTGCAGCTTCAGGAGCCATATGAGAGCCATCTGTTTTTGTATGTGTCACTTCAAAGAGTTGTAATAACCCAAAAATTTCAAAATAATGTTTAATTGAAATTTGAGGTTTTAATTATGAAAATAGGTAAATTTTGGGGACTAAATTATAAGTTTTTAAAACTTGTAGCTTATTTTAGAGTTAAAGAAAATTCAAGGACCAAGCCCTGAATTTACCCAAGAAAAGTTGGTCATATTGGTTTATATATACATGGTTTTCTATTTTGAAAACAGAAAACCACTTCCCAAAATCCTCTCTCCCAACCTCAACTTCCGACAACGATCCCGATGCCGTCCGAATTCCGATCGTCGTTTTGAAACCACCTTCGTGTTCGTTATCGAGTGAGAAACAATTCCCTTAAATTAATTGAGGTGAAACGCTGCCAAACGTTGTGAATTTCAAGTCAAAGCCTTGACGTTTTTTTTAGCACAACCGCCTAGAAAATCCTAAATTCATCGCTGATCGTCGCTCCGTTTACGACACCTCCTGCACCATAGTGTTCCTTGTGCCGTTCCGAGTCCGCCGGTGTCATCCTCGGTCTCCGTCGACGGAGGCGCGTGGGGAGGTGAAGTGGTCAAAGTTTTCGATTTGATGAAATCGAGCTCTCCGCCGTTAAAAAATTTGAACCGATCTTTGTACTCGTATTTCACTTGAGCAAGGATCAGTTAGGTCTGGTGTTGTACGGTCGTTAGATCAGCCTGAACCGCATACTATGAGAGTTACCCGATCTAGCGCTGCAACAGAGCGTGATCGACAAACCCAGTAATAGGCTTCCCTATCTGATTTCTCAGACTGTTACAGGTGTGTTTACTAACGGTGTTATCTTACTGTTTTAAACTATTATATAAATGGTTTCAAATTTATGATGATGTTGAATATTATTACAACATGATACATGTTTCATGAATACTGGTTACCGACACCTGATTTACCGGATATTACTGATCTGACGTATGGTTTATGTAATTTCTGCATATGATTTCTAAGCATGAACCATTTTCATGTTTTAATGGATTAATATTTATTTCACCTAAATACATACATGTTTATTTTTGTCACTGGGATAATATTGAGGGAAGTATTTCAGGCTCCTTTGCTGTGTGCTCAGGGTAAGTCCTTACTGGTGTGCAGGTGGGTGTATGGTTCTAGGGAACCTACACATTATAGTGATTGGAGTGACTGGATAGGGAAGTTATTACTGCAGGCTCTTTTGCTGTGTGCTTAGGGTAAGTCCTTATTGGTGTGTAGGTGGGTGTATGGTACTGGGGAACCTACATATTGTAGTTATGGAAGCGACTGGATGGAGACGTTATTACTGCAGGCTCCTCAGCTTCGTGCTTAGGGTAAGTCCTTACTGGTGTGCAGGTGGGTGTATGTTTCGGGGAAATATATAAAAGATAGAAACCGGAATGATTGAATGGAAATAATGTTCATATTTTAAAATATGTTTAATAATCGATTTTATTGGAATATTTTATTCGTATGTTTTTTTGCACTGTTTGGAGCACACTGGGCTTTTTAGCTCATTCTATAGTTTTTAACTTTTTCAGATAACAACAGACCGTAAGCTAGCAAGTTTGGCATCAGGGATATCAACTACTTATTTTGTACGAATGTATATCTCTATATGTTTCTCAGTTTGTGTTTGGTGACATATATTTTCTATCGTTTTGAATATATTTGTATTATTTATATTTTGTTCTGTATTATATCTAATGTATTAAAAGTTGTTTTAAAAAAAAACTCTGAATGGGATATGTGACCACTTGGATTTGGGTCTAACTTATAGACTGGGTCTGGAGGGTTACATTTGGTGGTATCAGAGCTTTCGGTTTTAAACACTCAGACTGTATATGGGTCCTAAGCTTTGGATTTTTACGAAATTTTAAAGAAAAAAATGTGCCACCTTATTTTATGATTTAAAGATTTTCCGATATCCGTGATGCTAATCTGACATATGTTTTGAATTCTTTCTGTAGAGCCTTATAGATCCAACAATGAGTGCTGCTAGAGGTCGTAGAACAGGACGTAGCCGTGGTCGAGGACGAGTCACTCGACCTTCTGTTACGATAGATGATCCGATGTCTCCACGTGATCCTCCTGCTCCGCAAGTCGATCCTACCCTTTCTCATGATGATCAGTTTACTCCTATGAGAGATCCTCCCGTCACTGAAGATGATGATACTGACATAAATGAAGATGCCTTTAATAGAGCTATATTCCGCATGTTTCAGAGAGCTGCAAGAGCCCCTAATAATATGACTGCAGTTGAGATTTCAAACTCTTTGGTTGCTGTTGGTGTAGTCCCATTTGAGGGTATTACTAGTGGATCCCCGACAGACGCTGAGTATTGGCTAGAGGATACAGAGAGGATTATGGATGAGATGGATCTCAGATCTGAACAGAAGTTGAAGGAGGCCCTAACTATGTT